CGCTGTGAGGGCAGTGGGAAAAATAAACAGGAGTAGCAATAAATCGATTAGTCCTGTTCAGAACTAAGTAACAGCACAAAAGGAGCTGGGGTGCTCTCGATTTTGGTAGATAACCCCGTTTGAGAGATCAAATGGTCCCTTAGTCACGTTTGTATGAGAATCTGTCACTACATACACATATTTTAGATGTATTGGCCTTTCATTGAATTAGCGATTAGTTTCTCCTATAGGAGCTATACTTTGGGATTTTTTTTTATGGTTTGCTTTTTTAATCATTAACATAATAATTCAGCTATTACAGCTGGGTTTTTTTTTTCTAAATACGTAGTAAGTACCTGGCGTTTGTTTTATGAATAAATCTTATTCTATGATTGGAGCAGGAAGGGGTTATTCTCTTAACCAATTTTTAACTTTTCTCTCCTCTCTTTTGCTACTATTCTTTGCTTCCTGATTTTTAGGCTGAAGTCTGTAAGCCTGGAGAGACCTTCAGCAGTAATCTCCAAATGTAAGTCGAATGAAACGTGGCCTGCCTTCAAACACTTTTTCCAGCTTTAAATTTTGATTTAATCATCCATAAAGTCAGTTAGTAGGAAATGTGTGATTTCTATTTATTTTATTTAACAACCTACCTAATTACCAAATGCTAGAAATGTCCAAAAATTATGATACAAGGGATAAACATTTACTGATTCTATTCACTATTTTATGTGATTTTCTTTTACTCTTTTCAGGAGCAAATTATTGATATTTCTTCTGTAGTTTTCTTTAAACTTTCATAGTAAAAGAGCTTATGATAATATGAAAAGATCTAATTCTTATAAGTGCTTTTGTTGATAGTAAAAACGTATTCATTTTGAACTTTCTTGATGACACATGATACATTTGCTTGCTGTGGTTTATTGGTTTTATTTCTCACATATCAGCTTTTACCCCAAAGTGACTGAATTCTGGAGACAGTGGTCAGCCTCAGACATAGTCACTCCCCAAGTAGCCTCTGTCTATACAACTCTCAGCCTCCCCTTCCTTTGTGTTTCCTGATGAGGGTATCTCTGGGGATCGTGGGCAACGGGGTTACTCTTTGAAGAATTTTACTTAGGGGCCAGAAACTTAAACTCACACCATGGGACACATTCAGCCTTATGCACCCCTCTCAAACCTTTCATCCTGTATTTCTCCATTCTCATTTGTCTTTGCACGTGGGGGCCAAACTTAGAGACTGTAACTGTGATACCGGCGCCAACCAGGAGATCAAAGAATTCCACCCAATCTCTTCTGAATACCAACAGTAGAATGGCTTCAGGCAGCCTTTTGATCTTTGTCTCAGCACCTGTGGTGCCACAAAGTAGCACTGCCCATTTGGTAGCACTAGGGGAGCTGCCTCTGAGTTCCCTAACAGACGGCTTCACCCTAACCTCCTGGGGCTCCATTCATTTTGGTACCAGCCAGAGAAGTGCCTCTCATCATCCTCCCTTACGCACCTGAATCTGAACCGTTCCTCTACCTGCAGCCGCACCCATCTTGTGTGATTTCCTCCGTGGCGTTGAGCTAAGAGAACCCTGATGAAGTGTCACTGTTGAGGATGCTGTGTTCCATTTCTGCTTCAGACCTAGATCAGTCACCCCCAGATCAGTCACCCCCAGCACTAGTCCCATTCATCCTGGCTGGAGCTCACCCAGGAGCTGGGAACACTGGATCAAACCAGGGAAGTGATACAACTCACCTTAACAAACTGCAAAAGGCTTTTTTCACGCAACAGGTATAATTTTAGCCTGAAATGACAGGTGCCTAAGCATACCTGCGTTTTTTTCTCACTCATTTCCCCCGCTAGATGCTAGGATGCAGCTACTTCCCACTTTAAGAAAATTCAGCATAAATGAGACTGAACTTAATAGAACATAAAAGATATGGTGGTTACTTAGATAAGAAAATAAATTGTTACTGTATCCCTTTACGTCTTTGATGATGCATTTCAAATATTATATGTGTCATAAAGCTCAGTTCACACATTACCTATTGTGTAAAACAAAATACTTTCATGTAGCCATGTATTGATTGTGAAAAACAAAACCCCCTTTCCCAGTGGACAAAGGCAGGGAGGATGTAGGGTTCAGAACAGCAAAGCGAGCCTGTCAACTTTCACCCTAACTCTGAGCTTAAACTTCCACCATAGATGAGTTAAGGGCTATTTTTTTCCGCCACACAGTTAATAACTTTTTTTCCACTTTATCATTCAGCTCTGACCGCCCCCTATTCAGAGCTGTGCCTTGAGGCTTGCCAGCAGGGCTTGCAATACTTACATTAAACTAAATTTAAGAGTAAAGGTGCTCCTGCTGCTAATGTTCTCAGATCAGAGGAGAGCAAAATGAAGGAACTGGCAGCTGAAACTTTAATGGTTGGAAACGTTGACTCAGATTTTGAAAAAAAAAATCACAGTTGATCTGCGTAACAAAGGAGATGTGTTCCTCTCCGTGTATCACATTTGCATATGAGTTCATTAGATGCTTTTATTTTCTAGCAAAAAGAGTCTAACCCAAGTGAACATCAATAAGGACTTTTTTTTTTTTTGATGGAGGTACTGGGAATTGAACCCAGGACCTCATGCATACTAAGCATGTGCTCTACCACTGAGCTATTACTCTTGCCTCCATGTCCCCGCCTGGGTAAGGATAAATTTTAAATCACCAGCTGGATCAGTTTGGGGGTGCTAGGTCAGAGTTTTTGGAGTTCGGTCTCCCCTGTGTCTGTGTACAAGTCACTGGGTGGGTCTTCCTAGTATTTGGAAAAATTACTTTTTTCACCTTTTGAAGTTCCTTGGGGAACCTTTCAAAGGTCTCTGCAATTATGCAGAGATCACCCTTGCCTCAGTGCCCTTGTTAAGCAAAGTGGGGATTCTCAGAACAGAGTCTTAATTGGCCAAGGAAGGAACCCCTGGACTGAAGCAAGCACAGGCATTATTTTCTCTCCCTTCCAAAATCCATAGGCACAGACAGGTCTGGGTTAAGAACTGAGATGGCTCAGATTTGCTCCATAACATTAGAAGGCTCTGGAACACAGAGTCTTCACAGCTGTCTGACATAGGCCCATGAGAGGTAGGTCCAGGGAGCCTTTGCTGCCCCCTCAAACCTGTGCATGAGAAGATCTAACCCTATATTAGTTACACCTTCTTACCACATGTTCTGCACAATATTTTGCCATTTAGTAAGTTCTGGTTAAGCAGTTAACTGAACGATTTGATATAATATCTGATCAGAAAAATGATTTTTTAAATACAAAAGAATTAAGTCACTATATTATAAAGTTATGATGAATAAAACATTATGTTTCTAATTATTTTGGAGGAGAGGACTAACATTAGCTGTTTGGACTGGGTACTTTAAAGCTATAACTGTATAAAAATAAGTAGACCTAATGTTTCGTGGATCATATCATGCTCTGATAACCTAGGTAATAATATTCATATTGTATTAAATCTAAAGTATGACCCTGATGTCCATTAGAATTTTCTCTTTAATTATGCAAATAATTATTTCCACGCTGGGGTAATAATCTTTTTTTCAGAAACAGAAGACTACCCCTTTCTACACTGAATTTCAAACGATGTATTTTTAGCTATTGATCCTATCGTAATCTCATCTTGTATGTATATTGCTTATTTGGGTATTGTCTGTTTCCCCACCACATCCATCCTATAATGTAAATTCTGTGAGGCCAGAGATTTTTGTCTTTTTCTTCACTGCTGCATCTTCAGCACCTAGAACAGTAACTGGCACCAAATAGTAGCTTAATAAATATGTGTTGAATTTATTTAAAGCTCAGATTGATGGTGATTTTCCCTAGGTCACAGAGCTAGTAACTACTAGACATAGGTGATTTAAAACCTGAAACAAGCCTTCCAGGTGCTTGTGAGACTAATGGTAGAGGTCAAATCTGGCAGACATGATGCTGGTGGAATCAAGAGGCTCTGGCCTTTTAGATGCCTCTCTAACACGTAGAAGGTGGGTTCTTTTGCATCTGAAAGCCCTTGCAAAGTGTGACAATTTTTCTGTTCTAAGTCCACCAGCATCATGCCCACACCTCTTCCTCTTTGCAGTAAGTTTTCGATAACTTGATTTTATAGACCCACTTTCGTTATTGTTCTTACTTTGTCCACTGTGACACACTGCATTTCCCAAAGATGGCCACAACAATATTTTCCATCCCACATGTTCCTCCTACAGTGTGACTTTGATGTGTTCCCATCAACAGAAGTGTCTATGTTCATTAGCCTTAAATCTGGGCAGGCCTATTTTTACAGTGGAAGAGATGCTATGTGACTTCCAAAGCCAGACCTTATAAGGGAATACAGCTTCCACCTGGCTTTTCTTTGGGCACTTGCCTCTGGAGCCCTGATTTGCACTTAAGAAGTCTGGGGCTTCCAAGGTGTGAGGAAGCCTAAGCCATGTGAGGAGGTCGCATGTACATCCTGGCAGGCAGCCCCGGCTGAGGCCCCAGCTAATAGTTAGCATCAACCTCCAGATACATGAGTGAAGATACTTACAGATGATTCCTGTTTCCCACCATTCAGTTACCTCCAAGCTTCTGAGTCTTCCCAGCAGAGGCCCCAGTCTTCGTGGAGTAGAGAAAAGCCATCCCCGTGTGTCTTCTAATTCCCGACCCGCGTAAAATGTGAAAGATAATGTAATGATTCCTTTTTAAACAATCTTTTTTAAACCACTGCATTTTTAGTGATTTATACATTATTAGAGTCATGTGCTCCCTCAGGGCCTCTGTCTCTTTGTTGAGATAATTCTTAGCGTTTATCACTTCGAAGCCTTTATTTGTGAGTGAGAAAGTTTTTAGAAAACAGCAAAGTATGAACAGTTTTTAATTATTAATAATAACAGGAAAGCAAAGTGTGAGTATTTGAAATCCACAGCTGCTCTAAAAATCTTCACTCTTTAATTGCAGCCAGCTCCATTAACAAAACTCATACCAAAGCTCCGAATTGTCTGAATCTTCAGTTCATTTATCAGATTTTCTCTTTTATCGACTTGCTGGTGGAGATGCAGACAAGTAATAAATTGGCCGAAAGGCAGAGAGGAGAAGAAAATAATGAGGGAAGCTACCTGCAGAATTCACTCACCGAGCTTTATTCCTGAACACCAGAGCTATAGTTCCACATGCAGGGGCATTCTCAGCTCAGATGACTCACTATGGATCACTAATAATGTCTTAAAAGACTCTTTGAAAGTTTTATTCTTTAAAATGCCGTTTCTGTTTATTTTTTTGGTAGTCCAGAATGACCACCCTGCCTCCACTGCCCATGGCACGCCCAAAGCTCACGGCCTTGGCCCGACAGAAGCTGCCGTGTTCCTCCAGAGATATTCCCAGGTACAAGACCCTGGCTTTTGTTTTTTGTTTTTTTTTTCCTAGAGAATGAATTTCTTGCCATAAGAAATGTCAGTAGCATATCTCAGAAAACAACATTGATTAAAGACAAAAGTATGTTGTTATATTCAGAATATTCAAATTTGCCATTTCAAAAGGATTGCTGAACCTCATTCAAATATTAAGACTATAATTATTTAGCAAGCTAGTGCTTATTTGATCATTTTGTTCCCTATTACCATTATAAAGTGGTTCCCATAAAGCTTTGGAAATCTATTTCCTTTTTAAAATATGTGTAGAGAATTAAAAGCAGAAGCTTTAAAAAAGAAACCTCAAGGTCTCGAGCACTGATTTTTGTTCTGGAGGAAGGGTGGCACAGAATTACTACCAGGGTAAATTGGCAGGCATAGTTTAGCTCCTGGAATGATCCTGGGGCTTGAAAATGCATCATCAAACCACTGCTGCCTGTGAATGGCTGCTGAGCTTCTGGAGTTGTTGTTGAGAAACTACCGGGCAGGAATTTGATGTACATTGTCGTAATTATGAATGTTAACTAAGATTGTGTTATTTAGAAATTTCCACTTACAGCTTTATTGATTTTTATCAGTATAAATAATTTGAATTTGTAGGTTTGCTTATTTTTTATGCATACCTTTCAATTCCTGCAAGGTGTAATGATCAAAGTATTATGAAACTACTTTGTTCTGAGAAGGCTCCTACCTCATTTTTTGGTATTTCTGGGAAAGACCCAAACCCCTGGGCCAAAATAAATACATTCAGCTAAACTACCATAAAAACTCTTTTGAAATAGAATTGAAAATTGTAGAAACTGAAAAAACAGAATTGTAGAGAACTGTATTTTCTTTTCAAGTAATTTGAAAAACAGAAAATTTTCAATAGATCCATAATTCTGGCATATACATTCTTATCTTCCATTTTACTTTTGAATAATGTGAAATATTTACAAAATCTGAAAAAGCTTGTTCTTCCTGTCTTTTGTAATGACTGAGATTACATTTTCTTTTCAACATGAGCGAAAACTTAGTCCAATCCCACATCCTTAAAATAAGATAGATTTTAAAGAAAAACATTTTTGCATTCATTTTATTAAAGGAGAACATTTTTACCACAATCATTTAGGGCAACATTTTGTATCAACATTCTTCATTAGCTTCTGAATAAAAATAGGTATTTGTGTATCCCATACTCCCACTGTCTTGAGATGTTAACAGTGTGTTTATTTTTAAAGGTGCGAAGGGTGCCAAGAATTGAATACACTACATATGTGATATATTTCTCAGTAAACTCTTCTTAAAGTCACTTTGCATCTTGAACTAGTAATAATTTGAGTTTATGTGTGAATCAAAAAACCCACACAAACAACATTTCAGAGCAAAATTTCATAATGTTTGCAACCAATAATTTAACATATTTGTATCAAATAGGTATTCTCAGTTCAAGATCCTGTGCCCAGCAGAATATGACTTGTGTAGTTGGAAAGTTATACTGGGAAAGTTAAACATGAATAAAATGGAAGATTTTATAAGCTTTGAGGGGAAAACTCCATTTATTTTAAAAACGCAGATTATTTTAATGTGTTGGTACTGTATTTGTTTACACACTGAGTTTGGTATTCTTCCCTATCTCTCTCCATTCAAGAAAATTAAAAATTTGAAATTGTCAGTCAACAACCTAACTCTATAGCTATTGCAGAACATTTATTATCGATGGTATTATACCCTGAATATTTCTGTTCTCCTGGTGGCATTTTACACGTTTGGTAGATTTTCAACTCAATGAGGCAGTGCTTTATTATTGCTTTCCGTTTCATTTAGGTCTCAACTGATCAAAGAAAAAGATGACATAGACCATTATCTGGAGGTGAATTTCAAAGGATTGTCAAAAGAGGAGGTTGCCGCGTAAGTATAACCTTTTAACGGTACTTTAATAGAAAGTTTGTTTCTTTTGTCTGGATTCTTTATTGAAATTTCAGTTTTCCTGTGCAGTTCACTTTTTCATTGGAACATGGCACTTAAAAATTAAAGCTTATATTAAATAGTGATAAGTCACGTCTATTGATCTTACACATATCAAAGTCTTTAATTTTATGACTTTCAAAATTCTCATATTTACCAAGATATTATACCATCATGTTGGCAATATTTTAGTTAAGTCTTTGCCATTAACTGCTTAATAACTTCCATTTTTAAGATGTATTGCCTTCATCGGGAAGAAAGAAAGCTTTAAGAGATTCATATCTTATTTTTCCTGGTGATTAAAAAAAAATCTTTATATTCTTTCCTTCACCAAGAACCCACAAAAAGAATTAATGGAACATAGTTTATTGGCTAATTTAAAAATAATTTTAAATTGTCTGGATTTATTGTTTTTTAATGAACAATGGAAACTTTGCCATTTTACTGCTAGTTGGAACCTAATTTACTGTCCAAGTAAAAACAGTATGAAAATCCATGTAAGTTAGTGAGAAATAAATAGAAACCCAGAATAATAGCTAAAAAGATTTAATATTTCTTACCTATAGACTTCGTGACTCTGTTACCAGATTTTTAGATGTAAGCATTGACAAATAGAAATCTTGTATATACACGTGCATCTTATAGAGTTCATTAAATGATTCAATTAACATATTTTATACAATAAAAGCTTTTAAAAGATTATCTCTATTAGTACTGTCTAATGCTATGGGATTCCACTGAAGAAGTATTCCTAGTAATATTTTTGGTGTAAGTTTTCAGTCTAAAATTCTAAATCTCTTGAGATACATTTCTTTTTATTAGATATGATCTTTGTCAATTTATATTTAACATGGAAAAATGGAATAGTTCATTCTGTCAGTAGCTACTTTATTTTATAGAGTGACAAAATTTTATAATAATTATCATCACTGTCTTCCTTGGAGCTCTGTTGGCTACCTAGTGTAGTATTTGGGACTGTTGGTTTTAAAGGCTATTTAAATTGTTAATTTATTAATTTTTCATGGTAACCTGTTGGATAAATTAAAGGTCAATATTGTCTGATGATATAATTCCTTCTTAAAATAAAAATGTGTGAGTGATATTTGCATTCTGACTTAAGTATAATGACATCCAAATAGCTCTAATTGGCTTAAGAATTAGGAATTAAATTTGAAATGAAACCTGTACTTCATATATATTAACAAACTAGACATCCATATACTTAAAATATGCTTAGCTTTCAGTCTGCACTGAAGAAAACATTGTTCTAAGACAATGCAAAATAAGCTATGCTGATGAGTGTTCTCTTAACAAATTTTTTTTCACTAAGGATATTACCAAATTGATTTCAAATCCCTATTATGCTACAGAAAACAAGTAGCACTGGGTAATTCTCAGTCCTTACTATTGCATTCTCTTTAAAGCTTCTTGTGCTTGAATACTGTTTTAGACCAAAGCTCTTTCCCTAAGATAGTAAGTGCAAACTTTAGTAGGAAGGGAAATTGTACTTAGCTCACTATTAAGCTTTTGAGTGATAATACATTCTAGACCTTGCCCCAGACAAACTAATTGAATAGCATGTAAAGGAGAAAATTGATTTCAGCATCTCCCAGCAACACCCAGCAGATGCTGTGAGGAATTATGCATATTCTGTTAGCTAAGGAATTGCTTAATGAAACTTTTTATTAGCCATCCAACTGTAAAAAAAAATAAATTGGTCAACAAGCATTTATTATGTGCCTAAAACTAGCTTTTTCACAGAGGGAGAAACAATGTTATTTTATTGTAAAATACTTGGTCTCATCCTTGTCTCCACTAGAGACAATGAGACATGCAAGCAGGAAATAAATATGGAATGAAAGAGTGCTGATTGTACTATGAGATATAGCCTAGAAGTCTAGAAAAAAGTAGAGAGGACCAAGATGGTAGGATGGAACTGGCCACAGAAGACAGATTCTGAGTTTGGCTCCCTACCCGGTAGCATTGTAGAATGATCAGACTAGTGCATCACAGATCCTCAGTATACAAAGATGGAATGGGGAGAAACTGATGAATCAAATTTCAATCAGGCAAAAGCAGTGTCTAAGGTGTATCCTCAAATTCCTCTTTATGCTGCTTATTCTTCTGTAAGATGATAGTAGAAATGTATACTTACATAATTCATGTCCACTAGCTTTGATATCCTATAGTGTGTTCTTTGTCTAGTCCCAGAATCACCCTTTGTCATCTACTCCAAAATATACCAACCTGCTTATATATAAACTCACACTCCGGGACTTTCCTCCGATTGCAGTGGGTGGAGAGTTCCTGTTCTTATCTATGGGTGTTGTATCCACTTGTGCTCTGGATACCATCCCCTCTTCCTTGTTTCAAGACTTTCTCCAGCAGTTAAGCATGTTTTATTTCTACATCATCAATTTCTTCTTTTCCATTGGGTCAGTCTCTCTAGCATTCGTATCTACTCTAGTATTTCTCTTGACTTCTTATCCTCCTCCAGATTCTATACTGTTTTCCTCTACCCTTCACAGTGACCAGAAGCCCTGTTGCAATATTTCCACATCCCATCCTTACCTCAATTAACTCTAAATAGGTTTCCAGACCCAGCACTCACTGAAATCTGTCTACTGTGACCAGTGTTCTCCATTTTTACCACATCTAATGGTCATGTTAGTGTCCTCATCTTGCTTGATGTCTTCACATTATTTGATGCAGTTGAGCACTTTCTTCTTGAATCTTCTGTGCTTGTGGCTTCTGGGATGCCATGTTCCATGGTTTTTCTCCAAACTCTTTGACTATGCTGCCTTAGTCTCCTTTGCTGGCTGGTTTTCTTTTTTCAAACTTTTGGTGGTGGGTCATCCTAGGGGTGGGTCTTAGAGTTGCTACTCCAGCTACATTATTTGGATCCGGTCTTATAGCTTTAAATATTAGCAATACCTGATGACTATCACATTTAGAAATCCAGCCCTGACCTCTCCATTAAGCTTCAAACTTATATCCAATTGCCTCCTTGATGTATTTACTTGGATACATAATAGACATTCCAAGGTTGATATGGCCCCAAAGTGGATTCTTGCTTTACCTCTCTTGCCCCTCACACTACTGCCTTCTAATATTCCTCCCCCAGTCTTCCCTTAATTCCTTAAATGGTACCAAGGCAGCCTTGAGTCTCACCTTGCCTTCACCACTACTTTCCCATCTAATCCATCAATATGTCCTATCAGATATAATTCCAAAATATATCCTGTGTTCAGCTACTTCTGTTCATTGCATAGCCACCATCATCTCTCACCAAGGTCGCTAGAATAGTCTCCTAATTGCTCTTCTCATATCCCCTTGAATTCCACCAAATTCAGCCACCAGAGTGATCTTTTAAAACTCAGATCATGGGGACACTCACCTCCAAGAGCTTCCCATTATTCTTATGATAAGCTCTAAAGATTTCATCATGGCCTAAAGTCCTATATGGTTTGGACTTTGCTGACCTCTCTGACCTTGTCTCACCTTTCTCCCCACCACTCACTCGTCTCGGTGTAGCCTTATTGCTAATACTTCTTGTTACGCAGGTGTCACCTTAAATGTGACCTTCTTGCTCTACCATTCCCTGACCCCATAATTGAGTAGGTCTCACCCACCCACACTCATTCCCAATCAGATCAGCTGGGTGTACTTCTGCTGTCATCTGGTCCTCATCTTGTGTTGGGAGTTTATATGTGGACTGTTTTCATCCCTAGTGGAATGCACATGCCACGGGAACAAGACTGTGTCTGTGTGTATGCCACTGTATCCCCAGGGCTTAAACAGGGCCTGGCACATGGGCGGAGCTCAGTAACTAGATGTCAAATGAATAAATGAGTGAAGAGTAAATGTTAGTTTATTAACACCATGAAATAGGCATCCTGCTATGAATATTCTTTGGTTATAATATTTTTAGTTCAGTGTTGTAGGTAGCTGGTTTGACTATGTGTTGAGGAAGTTTAACTCCTCCAAAGTGTTTTATGTTTACAAGTAGGAGTATAAAATTTCAATGAGTAATTGAGCGCAGGACAAGCTAAAGTAGTTGTTACTGGAATGTCCAAGTGATGAGGGATCATTTTACTTTGGAATGGGTAAAATGGTTCAAAGGAAAACAGCTTCTGAGTTTTTTACCATTTACATTTACAGACAGAATTCTAGTATGCTTCATTACTTTTTAAGTGACCAGATTATTGCTGTGCCTAATAGCTATTTTTTAAGCATATTGTACTAACATACAATATATTTGACACTGATAATTTGACTTTTTTAGATAAGCCTTTACATAGTTCATTAATAGTATTTAACTGATCTTTAACAACTAAAGAAGATCACATTGTATTTCTTTGGTTTTTTATTCTGTATTATATTATCAGAATATGTTTTTTTTGAAGGACTTGAAATATCACTTATTATCATATCAGAATTGCTTTGAGTAGCTAGGTAATAAAAGTGTCATTTATATATTCAAATAAATTTTCTGGGGGGCAGTTTTTACAGCTTTAGCTATGTATGAGGCTACAAATAAACAAAATTATCAGGGGACAGAGAATGTTAATCTGCTCAATATTATTTTCTGCTTCAGATATCAAGTTCTGTTATATGGAAGAATAGCTTTAGTTCAAAATTGCGTACATCCCTAAGATACTGCTTTCTTTTAGAGTATCTTTCAAGCATCACCAGTTGATGTCTACTGTCACTTTGTCAGCACAGTGGCAAATAGGACTATCAGTTACCATGTTCAACGAGTTTGGATTATAAAGAAACAGAGCCATCTATTTTCATATCTTTTAAAGCTTTTCTCTCCCGCCTCATTTTAAATTGTATTATAACTCAGTTAAAGTAAATTAGCATTTTGCCAATCTTAGGTTTTCATCTTGAACGTATTCCAAAATTGTCTTCCAAAGGTGCCTTTACAAACTACCAAGATA